AGAACCCTTTTCTGCTGTCAGAGACCAAGTCATCTGAGCTCTGTTATCCCCCACCACAGCTGACATCTCCCCTTACTCTGACTGATGGACACCTTTTCTGGAATTGAGTCCTGCCACTGAAAGAATGTGGGCGATCCTTTCTTCCAACCCTAAAACCCTTTCTTGCTTTATCTTATTTTTTTTTTCCTCTCTCCTATCCATGCTTTTCAGAGACCCTGAGCTGAACCTCATCCCTTGCAAAGGCTTTTGACATCATCATGAAGTTTATCCTCCTCTGGGCACTCATTAATCTGCCTGGTGAGTGTCTACCCAACTGTCCCTTTACTCCCAAAGAGAAATCCTGAGGGAAGCATGAAAAATGGATAAAGACAGCAAGCCCCATTTCAGACTGCAAGTGTAGGATCGCATCTCTGTCCCCACCACTGCCACCGTCCCTGCCAACTTTCCTCTTGTGGCAGTGCCTGCCTGCCTCACCTCAGGCGGACTGCTGCACATTGACACCCCCATACCTGACCCACTCCTACAGAGAGCTGAGACCTGAGTCTAGACCTGTCTGGAACAGGACTAATGTTGGGGTGAGAGAACAAGAAGTAGGGGCAGGAATTGAAAGCAGGGGTCCAACCGAAGGGCACAGCAGAGTGCTGAAGAATTGGATATCTCCCGGCATGGTTCCAGTTACTCAGGTGAAAACCCTGGAGTTATTCATAAGCCCTCTATTTCTTTCACACCCCACATTCAAACTGTTAGAAATAATATTGTTGACTCCGTCTTTTAAACATACCCCAAATGCAATCACATCTCACCACCAGCACTGCTCACTATGGTCCAAGCCACCATTTCCTGCCTAGATTAGCAAGATTGGCCTGACAGGCCCCTGTGCTTCATGCATCTGCACCCTGCTGGTCTCCAGGAGGAAAGCCTCATCACCCCTTTACACAAAACCCTGAAGTGGCGCATCACATCTCATCACAAGACAAGTCCAAGTCTGTACAACAGTCTACTAAACCCCTATCACTTCTTTGACCTTCTTTCCTGTCAAATCATTCTAAAATTGGTAAAAGTGGTAATAAATAAATAAATAAAAAGTAAAAAAGAGTTGATTTAACATAGAACCTACCAAGTNTTTTTTTTAATTTTTTTTTTCCTTTTTGTCTTTTTTCGTGTCCGGCAACGGATCGCAACCCACAGTGCTGCGCCCGCACCTCGCTCAGCCAGTGAGCGGGAACAGGTCTGTATGTGGGATCCAAACCCTCAGCGGGAGCGCCGCCGCGCTCCCAAGCGGCGCACTGTAGCAGTGCGCCACCGGGCCGGCCCAAGCACCAATTCTTGATTCTCCACATCCTTGCTGGCATTTTCTGTTATCCATATTTTGGATTTTAGCCCTTCTACTAGATATGGAATAGCATCTCATTGTTATTTTAACTTGCAATTCTCAAATGACATATTGAGAATTTTTTCACATGCTATTTGCCATCTACAATGTATCTTCTCTGGTGTTATGAACAGAATTGTGACACCCCACCAGCACCAGCACCAGCTCCCAAATGTATAAGTTAAAGCCCTAAACCCCAATGTGATTGTATTTGGAGATAGAGCCTATAAGGAAGTAATTAAGGTTAAATGAGGTTAGAAGGGTGGGGCCCTAATCCGATAGGATTAGTGCCCTCATAAGAAGAAATACCAGAAAGCTTACTCTCTCTCTCTCTGTCTCTTTATGGGTGTGCACAGAGGAAAGGCCATGTGAGGACACATGTAAGGACAGCAGGAAGGTGTACATCGACAAGCCAGAAAGAGAGCCCTCACCAGAAACAAACTTTGATAGGACCTTGATCATGGACTTCTACCCTCCAGAACAGTGAGAAAGTAAATGTTTATTTTTTTAAGCCACCCAGACTGTAGTATTTTCTTATGGCAGCCCAAGCAGATTAAAACATTTGTAAGGTGACCACTGAAATCTTTGACTCACTTTTAAATTGTGGTGTTTGTTTTCTTATTACTGAGTTTAATATTTTCTTAAATATTTTGGATACAAATTCCTAAGCAGATATGTTTTGCAAACATTTTCACCTAGTCTATGGCCTACCTCTATTTTTAGTCTGAATGATTTGCTTTGTACCTGTCTGCTTAAGTACCTGTCATTCCCACTAGTCCATAAGCTCTTTGAAGGCAGAAATGGCCTCTTTAAATTTACACGTCCCCAACAGCAAGCACAGATCCTAATATAAGGTAGATATATAATATAAATGATTATCTGGTTGACTGACTGAATGAATGGATGGATAGTGACATAAAGAGAAGGACTAATGTATTTCAGAGAGGGGTTAGTGTCAGGAAGGGGAAGCAGCATCAGCACCAGAGGGCTGGACTGTGTCCTTTGGAGGTAATTATCAGTGTCACACAGATGGGGTTAGCATCACACAGAAGGGAGGGGCGGCATACTACATAGAGTTTAGGGAGGGGCCTGCCTTCACAGTCTGACAGAGGGGAGATCAGAAAGGAGGAGGCTGTGGAGACATCGTGAACTTACACCTCTCTCGGATTAGGTACTCTCCTCCCTGAAGAGGGAGGGCAGAACTTTGAAGTCCAGAACCCTTTTCTGCTGTCAGAGACCAAGTCATCTGAGCTCTGTTATCCCCCACCACAGCTGACATCTCCCCTTACTCTGACTGATGGACACCTTTTCTGGAACTGAGTCCTGCCACTGAAAGAATGTGGGCGATCCTTTCTTCCAACCCTAAAACCCTTTCTTGCTTTATCTTATTTTTTTTTCCCTCTCTCCTATCCATGCTTTTCAGAGACCCTGAGCTGAACCTCATCCCTTGCAAAGGTTTTTGACATCATCATGAAGTTTATCCTCCTCTGGGCACTCATTAATCTGCCTGGTGAGTGTCTACCCAACTGTCCCTTTACTCCCAAAGAGAAATCCTGAGGGAAGCATGAAAAATGGATAAAGACAGCAAGCCCCATTTCAGACTGCAAGTGTAGGATCGCATCTCTGTCCCCACCACTGCCACCGTCCCTGCCAACTTTCCTCTTGTGGCAGTGCCTGCCTGCCTCACCTCAGGCGGACTGCTGCACATTGACACCCCCATACCTGACCCATTCCTACAGAGAGCTGAGACCTGAGTCCAGACCTGTCTGGAACAGGACTAATGTTGGGGTGAGAGAACAAGAAGTAGGGGCAGGAATTGAAAGCAGGGGTCCAACCGAAGGGCACAGCAGAGCGCTGAAGAATTGGATATCTCCCAGCATGGTTCCAGTTACTCAGGTGAAAACCCTGGAGTTATTCATAAGTCCTCTATTTCTTTCACACCCCACATTCAAACTGTTAGAAATAATATTGTTGACTCCGTCTT